CCTGCCTGTCCCTTTTTCAGGCTCTGGGGCCCGGAAGCATGGCTACTTCCCCTTGTGGGGTCTGCTCCCTTTTGGGGTCTATGGCGTGCCAGGTGGAGGAGCTCCAGGCCACAGTCCAGAGACTGTGTGCCATCAGGGACTGTGAGCAGGAGACTGACTCCTACTGCCAGGCCCTTCTCCCCTGGGAGCCAGAGGGTAGACCACGGTCTCCCTCCAGGACAAGGGAGGACTCCGGGACCTCCCATTCTGTCCAGTCAGGAGTATGGACCAAGGTGGTCAAGGGCCCCAAGGCCCGCTTCACCAAGGCCCCTGCCCCACCAGAACTTAGCAACAGGTATGAACCTCTTGCAACCCCAGCAGAGCCTGCTGAGTTGCCAGCTCCCACAGGCAACACAGGCCCAATTGCAGCTACCGCCCTCGCTCTCCCCAAGACAAAAAGTAAAGTGTTTGTTGGGGGAGACTCCCTCCTGAGGGGGACTGAGAAGGTAATCTTCCGCCCCGACCCCTTAGCCTGGGAAGTTTGCTGCTTCCTGGGGGCCCGCATCCGAGACACTGCAGAGAAGATCCCTAAGCTCCTCCAGCCCACAGACCATTATCCCATGCTCCTTATTCATGTGGGCACCAATGACACGGCTCAGAGCGCTCCCAGCTGGGTCATGAGGCGCTACAGGGATCTGGGCTAAAGGGTCCGGGGGCACAGGTGGTGTTTTCTTCGATCCTCCCAGTCTCGGGGTACAGGCCGAGGAGGGAGAGGAGGATCCAGGTAGTGAACCAAAGGCTGTGGCGCTGGTGTCATCGGGAAGGCTTTGACGTCCATGACCACAGCCCGCTCTTTGGCAAGAGAGGCAGTGAGCTGCTGGGAAGAGATGGCCTCCACCTCTCTCCCCTGGGGAGGAGGCTCTTCTCAGCCAGACTGGCTGACCTGCTCCACCGGGCTTTAAACTAAGCCTGCTGGGGGATGCGGGGACTACCGCCACTGCTGGCCCGCTGAGCAACCCTTGCAAAGCCAGCAGGCCAAGGCACTTAAGGGAACCCACCCCTGCCCCAGCCCTGGTACAATCTGTGAGCAAGACAAGAGCCCCCAAGGGGACACTTGCCTGCCTGTACACA